AGGCTTCCTGGGTCCATAAGTGAGTCCAAGGACCCTGGGGCACCAGGGGGACGGGAGCTGGTTACCTGAGGGGACAGGGCCTGGAAATGCCCCCGGGGTGTAAGATACCTGAGGATGCTCAGGAGGAGCTGGGGAGCCAGAGAAGACAGAGGAGGCTGGCTCCTGGTCCCCCTCGAGGGCTGAGGGGCCTGACCCCAGGGTCGTCCCTGAGAGGGGCAGGGCTAGAGGCTGGGGAATCAAGAGACCCAATGATGTTTTCCTGAAGGGACTCAGTGACCCCTTAGGAAAGACCTCCTCAACCAGCTGGCACCCATAGCCCCACCACCGTCAGGTGCCAGGCAGGATCTCACATCCCCAAGAAGCAGGGAAACCCAACCCGTACCTTCCCAACCGGGTGAATAACGCAGAACACCTTCCCCAGAGGTCCCTCTTTCTGAATTTGGAATGGGGGGAGATGCCCCGCCCAGTGCCCCACCCAGACCCAAATCCCAAACCCCGCCCCCATCCTGCCAGCTCACTCCCTCAAAGGCAAGCACACGGGGACTGGGGTCAGGGCATTCTCCAAGAGCTCTCCGCCAGCCTCTAGACCAGCCTCCAGTCACCCTTCAAGCCCCTCACTGGCCTGGGGGCAGTACCTAGGAACGGAGCACAACTTTGCCAGCAAAACCACAGACCCTGGGGTCACCAACAGACCTTTCAGCCTGTGAAGGAGGTGCAGGCTAAACCAAGAACTGGGGCACTGCACTGCACTCTATTTCCTTGGTTCAAAGCCACCACTGACTCCTCAACTCCCCGTCAGGCACGTGTTAACATACCTACAGACTCTACCATGTGTCTGGGGACAGGAGGTGGAAGAGGCCACAAGAAGAGAACGTCCAAGTGGACTTCAGCCTCAACCATAGTGTCTTGTCTTGTTTTTCTAAAGCAATTAAATACGAACTTTCTGTAAACAAATCTCAATTCCAGAGTCACTAAAAATCCAGGAAAAACATACACTTTAGAATAGGAAAAAACCTAACAGCAAACACTGGGACACCTCCTGAAACCATGCCAAATAGCTTCACTTGTACCTAATCCTGGAGAAAACTCCCTGGGAGCTCATGAACAAAGAGAGAAACTGAGGCACAGGGTGGTCACATGACTGGCCCAAGGCCAAAAAGCAAGGAAATGGTGAATCCCAAACGTTCATCCTATCACATCAGCGAGTTCAGTTGAACACTAGGCCACACTCCTGAACTCGAGTCAGGCAGAAAACTCCAGAGTCTGGCTGGAACCACTAATAACAATAGGATTAGCTCCTTGCAGGCAAAAAAAAACACAAAGTAAATCAAAGACTGGAAAAAGGCACGGCCACCAGGCGGGCAGTGTAAAGTAGGAGGGAGGCACACAGGCACTGGGCACGGGGAAGAGAACTGGCCTGGGGCTTTGGGCCGCTGGCTCCACACCTGTGAAATGGGCAGGCTGGGAGCCCCAAAAGCCTCTCCTGCTGCTGAGGCTCCAAAACAGACAAGCAGGCAGAGAGGAGCCAACAGGGAGGGAGCAGTGATGCCTGCTGGTTGCCCAGAACCCAGGCGAGGAAATTAATTCCCTGCAGACACAGATACACTACGCAGGGGGAGCTGTGGTGAAGAGGCCGGTCCACAGAGACAAACACGTGCGAAGGGCTTCCTCCTAAAGCAAGAGCTCCCTCCACATACACCCACACTGGACAGATCAGAACAGAAAGGAGATTCGCTTGCTCAAAATGCTGTGGCCACCTTGTGGAAACAGCGCCACAAACCCAGGAGATGAGCCAGGGCTGAAGGTCTGGCCTCCCGGTACCGGCGGGGATGAGCACCCAGGCAGCACATCCGCAAAAGCCTCAAGGAAGGGCTCAATCAGCTCCACCTGGCGAAGCAGGGTAGTGGAACGTGGCCTTGCAGCCAACCAGGGCTCAGCGTCAGTTTCAGCTTTTCCACTTTCCAACTGGATAAAACCACGCAAAGACAATCAAACCTTTAAAACTTGGCTTCCTCTTCTCTAAATGACAGTCACGTCTACCCACCAGGTGTATGAAGACTTGGCAGAATGACGTCCGAAAAACACCTTTCCCTACCCTTCCCCAACCCTGACACCATCACTGAAGACGACGAGAACCTGCCTTGCCTCTCTACTTCCTAAGAAGGAGCTTACTACGCCACGGATGATTTCACAGCAAAAAACAGCACTTATAGGACACCTAGTGTATGCCAAACCACACACCACACACTTTACATACGTTACCCCATTTAATCTCAGCTCTGCTCTAACTAGACCTGGGAAAGTTTTTAAACTTTCTGAGGCTGTTTCCTCCTTCGCAAAAGGAAGAGAAGCACTCCAGCCTCACAGATCTGTTATAAAGATCCACTCAGAAAAACCATACAAAGAACTCAGCGAAAAGCGCTCGGAGTTTAACTGCAACCTTCACTGCTACCATCCTTATTAATTCCAAAAACCCAGTAACAAAAGAACGATGATGGTCAACCCAGAGATGAAACAAACAGGCATAAAGATATTAAAGTAGCACAACTACGAGGCAACAAAGTAGACATCTGACGCAAGTACGCCAACTCCAGAGCCCGTGCTGTCAGCGGCGCCTCACCTAAACGCAGACACACGCCGCGGGCACGCAGTCCACGTGGCTCCTTCCCCGGGCGCGGTCCCCTCATCCAGCCGCCCCCGACCCAACTCTAGGCTGCTTCAAAATAATTGCTGCGCCCCTCATTCAGCCCTCCTCAAGAGCCTCCCCTTCCCTAGGCCTAAGTTTCTTCACCTTCAAACCCAAATAGGGAGACAAGAAGGATTTTTCAACTGTCTAACGACTCTCCAAGTTCTGAAAACCTTGCAGCCTGCATACTGATCGGCACCAGCACGGCCCGGCGCTGACTCGGCATCCCCTGAGGACTGCTTGCCCCTCACCCTCCCCTACGATACCCAACAGAACCGGTCCCTACTCGCTCCAAGCCTGTTTCCCCATGTCCACGTTGAGAAGATTTAAGAGGCTGAGCTCAGGGGCCCCCAGTTTGGGATGCGACAGGAGAGGAGGTCTGTCTCCAGTTGGGGCAGGATGCGGACAAACACTCCATATTGCAATTATTGGGGCCGACAAAGCCCACGTGCAACGAGGATGCACGCGCGTGGGGGGCGCACTTTAAAATGACACGAGACGTCCCTTTTTGAGGAGAAAACCCGCGCGTCGCACGCGTTGACCTGAGGCGCCCCACGACAAGAGCCGGGGCGGGGACCCTGGCAGGCGAGTCCGCAGGACACAACGCAAAAGACGACCGCGGGAGCAGGCCGGCCAACCCCGCGCCCACGTGAAGGCGGGGGGTGGGGGGGCTCACAACCGCCATTTTGGAACAAAGGGGGCGTGGAGACGAGAGACGCGGGCCCAGCCGGAAGCGGAAGTGCCGAGGCAGCGGGAGAAAAACGAGGGATTGCGGGACCCGAAACGTATATATCACCTCCTTTCCAGATTATTAAAAAACAGCCCGCAAGCGGAAGCCCAGTAAGCCCGTCCGGTCCGCGCCGCCTCCGCCGGGACCACGTGGGGCGCAGACCCGAACGCGGCGCGCATGCGTCCGAGGCCCGCGCCCGCCGCCCCCTCCCCTCCCGCGCGCGGCGGCACGCCGAGAGGTCACGTGAGCGAGGCGCGCGCCGGGCGGGGGGGGCCCCCGCGCGGCCCTGAGAGGAGGGGGAAGCGAGGGGAAAAATGGCGGGGGCCGCTAAGGGAAGCCAAGAGCCGCACCGCCCGCCGCCCCGCGCCCCCGGCGCCCTCACCTTGCTTATTCTCGTTGAGCTGCCGCTCGAACTCGTCGAAGTCCGACATGCTGAGGCGGCCGCGTAGGGCCCTGTGCAGCTCTCGACTCGCCTTGCCGCCCGCCCGCTCCGGCCGCTTCGGCTACTTCCGCCGCTCGCTTCGGCTACTTCCGGCCGCCGCCGGCGCTCCGCCGCCTCCTACCTAATCAAGCCCGGGCCTCCCGCCCGCCCCGCCCCGGCTCCGCCCCTCTCCCCACCCGCCCGCCCTCCCCCCAGAGCCGGCTCCGAAACGCGTCGGCTGTTTCCGGACCGTAGAGGAAGGAGTTGGGAGCGGCAACTTCGGCTGCTTCCGAAAACACCCGAAGTGAGGATTTCGCCGGCTTCGAAGGCTTTCGTAACTTTTCGGAAATTAGCTCCTCAACGTTCGGGTGTTTCCGTAGGTCCTCGCGTTCCTTGGCGCTCAGCCCTCCCCCAAGAGTTCGGCTTCTTCCAACAATTCAAACCGTCCCAGTCTTCGGCAGCTTCCGCAGATCCTGCTCTTCTCCTTCGGCCCTGCCCAAGCAATCAGCTACTTCCGACAATCCTAATCGTCCCGGACTTTGGCACTTTCCCGAAGGTTTCCGGCGCTCGCCCTCGGACCCTCCCAGAGATTAAACTCGATTCCAAGCTTCGGCTCTTTCCGGAGATTGCACTCGCTCTCTCCTCCCTCCCCGGAGAACTTCGGCTTCTTCCGCTACCGCTTCGGGAAGGCCTCACTCACGGGAGACAGCTTCGGCTTTTTCCGTCAGCACTTCGGCTCCTTCCGGCTTCGGGAACCGAAAAGGGAGGGAGGACGGCGGTGAGGTGGGTCAGGGGAAGGAATACGGGGAAGGGGAGGGGTCCCGGCTCTCAGCACCTGGCTCTCCGGGTGGGGAGTGTGGAGGAAAAGAAGGACCGATCTCGCGGAGGGCCCAGGAAGGTTGCGCGAGACAAAAGCAGCCAGCGGGGTGAAAGGTGCGCGCGGCCGCTGCGGAGGTTGCCAGCGCGGCTTTGTGCGCCTGCGCAGGGTGGAAGCGGAGGGGCGCGAGACGGACTTTGCGCCTGCGTAGAAGTCAATCTGAGGCGCGATTTCTCGGTGTTCCGGAAGGGAGGCGGGTTTCAGAGCCCCCAGCGCGCGTGCGCGAGGCTCTCCCTTCCTCCAGGGAAGGTACTGCGTTCCCGACGGTTAAGCAAGGCTGCCCTCTTGGTCGCCGTAGCAACCGCGTAAGCGCGCCCGCTCCCCTCTAGCCGCGCAGGCGCAGCAGGCGACGTAGGAGGCACTTCCGGGAGACTGATAATCTCGCATTACCGCCTCCTGGCGGGCGGGTGAAAACCTCCACCCGGAGATGTGCTGCTTTCCCTCCCCGGTGGCCGCCTCCTTTAGAGGTCATTGAGTCCCTCCGCTCGAGAGTTCAGATAGCCCACCGGGTAGAGTTCACGCCTCTTCCAGAGCTCTGCCCCTGCGAGTTCCCCGGGGCACAGCTGCTTCTCCCGCTCCCACCCCTGCTTCCTGGGGGCTAATTACACCCTGTCTACCAACCTCCCCGTTTCCCGCCTGACCGCGCGCTCCCTGCAACCCCCGAGACCCCCGTCTCCGCGGCAACGGCCACCCCCTCCCAGGAAGAGGCGGGGGCCTAGTTTATTCCAAATTTTATCGTCTCTTTTTAATTTAAATTCTCTGAATAACTCTCTCTCACGTGGACGCGGGGCGGTCCGGAGCGCGGGTGGGGAGCTCCAGGCTGGGCGGGCCGGCCTCTGCTCGGGGCTGGGGCGGAGGCGGGGTGTGTACGGAGCCCCCGCCCCGCAGAGTCCCGCAGTTTCCCCAGGAGGACGGGCCCAGTAAGGGCAGGACGGTGCAGCTCAAGTGGGAGGGGTGCCCGTGTTTAGGAAGGGACAGAAACCGGCCCCTGGGCAGTGGCTCCCGGGAGCCTAGCTAAGTGAGACACCCCCACCCCCGACCCCAGCCCCAACCCAGGGAATGCGGAGGAAGGTGAGGATGCTCGGGATGTGGGAGGCAAGGAGGGCACGTGTATATACAAGGGACGTGGGGTGCAGTGGAGGTGCAGGAGGAGGAAGAGAGGCAGGCACACGCCGCCCACCCGCGAGACGGTCGCGAGGGGCACAACACTCATGCACACGCTCGCCCGTACGCCGGAGGGAGCGGAGTGGAGGGCCGGAGGGAGCGGAGTGGGGGGCCGGCGGGCGTGTCCCGGCCAGGTCGGGGATCACCGCTTGAAGCGGTAGGTGATGGGAAGCAGCAGCTTGCTCTTCTTGAGGGCCTGCACCTTCTTGAGGGTCTCGTCGTCCAGGGCTAGGAAGCAGCGGCGCGAGTACTCGAGCAGACGCTCCTTGGAGGGGTCGAACTCGCCCACCTCCGCCAGCTTTTCTGGGGCCACGATAAGCAGCTCGGCGATGGGTGTGGTCAGCGCCACTGTGTTGCGGTCCACGCGGTGGTGCTCAAAGGCCCGAGACATGCTCTTCAGCTTCTGGAAGGTGCCCAGGATCTTCTTATAACGGCAGAGGACACCATCTGCGTCCTTCACTGCAGGCCCAAGGGTGGGGCATAGAGAGACAGACATGCGGGGACAGAGAGACATAGGAGGATAGATAGAGACACGCAGAGAGATGCAGACAGACATGGGGCGGCAGATGTGGAGGAAACAGGACATGAATGGGAGGGCAGATGAGGAGGATGAGACAGGTGAAGTGAGGGGCCCCCACATAGGACAGGGATGGAGACAGGGAAGATAAGCGCAAGGAAGACAGACGGGAAGAGCAGAGAAGAGCCCGGAGAACAAAACGGAAAACAGGAGGAAAGCAGGAGAAATTGTCGAAGGAGGTGGGAGAAATGTAGACAAAAGTGGACCAGTGGAAATTGGAGCAGGCAGGGCCCAGAGAGGAGGAGGGAACATGGAGGAGAGGGTGGGTTAAGGGGCGAGCTCCCAGCCCACCTGAGCCATCACGCCTCCCCTCCTAACAGGAACCTGAGGGTCAGGAAGCTCAAGCAGACCCCTGGTGAGGGTGGACCAGAATGTAAAGACTAGGAGAGGCCCGCACATGGAGACTGGGACAGAGTCTGATCTGTTTACAGATGGCGAGACTGAGGCTTGGGGAGGAGTAGGGAGGGCCTCTGCAGAGGCCACACAGCAAGCCCGGGCCCAGACCCTTGGAGCCCCCACCTCCTGTGCCTCGCTCACCCCGCTGCCTCTCCCGGGCCTTGGGCTTCCCGAAGCGCCTCCGGCCAGCACCTCCCTTCTGCTTCTGCCTCTTCCTCTCCACGTTACTGCCTTCTTCAGATGCTCCGCTGAGCGAGGAGGCGGCTGACTCAGGGTCCGAGGCCTCACCCCCGGCCCCACCCCGGCTGTCCCCCTCAACCCGCCGGGGCCCAGGCTTCACTCGGCAGTGGTCCTCTGGAGAGAGGTGGGGAGAGACACACGTACACATATAAACTGAGGGAACAGGAGGGAGGAGGCGGCAAGAGGTCTGTCTGCAAGGTGGGGATGGACATCATGTCACACAGGTCCTCAGGAAGGGGGGCCCCTAAGGAAACAGATGAGCACGAAGTACAGTATAGATACTGAGGTCCCTGCCGAGATGGCTGAATACGGCACACTCAGCTGGGATTCAGGGGTGGAGGTTGAGGTGGGGATGGGTTGAGGACACTCAGCTGACTCCTAAACTTAGTGGCAAGAGCTCTGCGGGAGGGACTGAGTGGACCAAGACAGAACCAGGGACCTTGAGAGAGCCTGTGATTATGTGGGGTTCCCACAGTGGAGGGGAGGTTTTCTGGGCACCCAGTAGGACCTCCAGAAGAGTAGACTCTAGAAACCTGGGAGGCAGTGGAGGTTGAGGCAGACATTCATACCCTGAGAGAAATCTCAGGCTCTGGGTCGAGGGGGCTGAGAGGGGCAGGTGCCAGCCTTCAGCCAGACAGAGGGAGCAGCTATGGCTTTGGCCAGGACTCTATAAGGTGGGTTGGGGGAGGTCTGGTGTTGGGGCTCCCACTGAGAAAGTCCAGAGGCCCCTGGGCCTGACCATCCTGGGTAGGTTCCCATCAGGTCCCAGCAACCCAAGCTAGGGGTGGTTCCAGAGCAGAGGGGTCCCCAATAACAGAGAGAGTGAAAAAAATGCAGGTCCCCTGCCCAGGCTTTCACCTGAATTCACAGAGAGGGATGCAGGATTTCAAGGGAGCCAGCCAGGGGCTGAAGACCAGGAGGGGGAGACTAGAGGTTGCACTGTCCAAAACACCAGCAAAAGATTTGGCAAAGGAAAGCCCTGATAGTCCGGGGAAGGGGATGCCTAGTGTTTAAAGTACACCGACTCGTGGGGCACAGGGTCCTCAGCAGAAGCAGGAATCGAGCAGGAAGGAAGCTGGGCTTGAGGTCCTGCAGACGGCCATAGGGTAAAGATGCCATGTCCCCACTGAGCCAACGAAGGATGACTGTGTGGGTGAGAAAGTTCCCATGTCCCCAAGAAGGGTGGGAGCTGGGTGCCAGGACCCAGGAGTGAGAGGGGAGGGGACTGCTCATCCAGAGCCCTCACCTGCATCCATGCGGGCAGAGGAGATGAACTTGTCCAGCTGACACCGCAAGAAGTCCCTCTCCTCCTCCAGGTCCTCGATGCGCTTCTGCAGCCACGAGTTCCTCTCCAGGGCCATGTGCAGCTGGGCCCTGACGCCGTTCATCAGGGCCACTGGTGGGGATGCGGCCTCCGGGGGCTCTAGGGACAGCGGGGACCCTGGTCACACCCCAAGCCTCGAGGGCCCTGCACCCCAGCTGACTTGAATCCCTCCGTGCCCACACCCCAGCTCACCCTCGAAGTTTCCCCGAGAAGGACTCAGACTGTAAAAGATCTGTGGGTCTAGGTGGGGTGTCTCGTCGAAGGGGATGGAGATCTCGAAGGCCTCATTGTCCTTCTTCACTGGAGAGGAGAGGCCAGGGGTCACCGCAGGGAAGTCCCCGGGCCCCTTAGACCAGCCCGCAACCCCAGCCCTGGAGAGGAAAGGGCAGGGATGGGGGGAGCAGCTGTGGGACCAAGGGTGGGCCAGGGTCCCAGCTTCCTCACGTGTCCTCCTCCGGCCGTTTCGGTCATTCATGGTGCAACCTCCAGCGGACCCGGGCAGATGAGCGCCTCAGGGGCACTGGACAAAAACAGCAGCCACAGATGGACTCCTTGGGGACATCCCCGGGGAGATAGGACCCCACTCAGGAGGAGGGGAGAGATGCTGAGGACCGGGACTCCTGGGCCTGATGGAGGGGGGGACCCAGACTCCTCAGGACTGAGGGAGGACAGCTGGGGTTCTGAACTCTTAGACTCTTACGGAATGAGGGGGCTAGGTTCCCCGTGGGGTCGACAGAGCAGGGACATCGTGGCCTGAATGGGACGGGTCCTGATCACGGGTCACCTCGGGGCCAAAAGGAACGAGAGGGGTAGAGACTGCCCCAACTTCCACGCCTAGGGTGGGGGTCCAGGCCACGCGCGGTTCCTTCCCCACCCACAGGCGCCCCTCCCCCGCACTCGCGTGGGCCAGCAGCACCCACCCCTCCCCCGTGGTGGGGGAACTGGGCGCGTGCGCAGTGCAGGGAGGGGCGGTCACGCGTGGGGATGCGCCCTCCGCCCCCGCCCTTTGTCCCACGAGTGGGAGGGGGAGTGATGGTGGCAAGGGGTCCCAGCGGGCTATGCATCAGGCCGAGAGCGCAAACGCGTCCCACTCCCTCCACCCCCGCCCGCGCGTGCCTGGGGCCCGAGGGACCGGGGCGGTGCTCACCCACCCGCGCGTGGAATCCGGCCCGGGGACCGACGGCGGCAGCGGCGCCCATTCCCGGCGCCGGGGAGCGTCTGCAAAGTGTCGCGGGGAGCGGAGGGAAGCGCCCACCCACCCGCGGGTGGGCGGGGCGGCAGGGGCGGCGAGCCACGGGGCGGAGCGGCGGGGCGGCAGGGCGGCAGGGCGGGCCAGGACGCCAGCGCTCGCCGGTCCGCCAGTGGGCGCGCCTCTTCAGGAGTCCCCGGCCCCAGGTGAGGCCTGCCGTTTGCGGCGGAGGTCGGGGCCGCACTTGCGCCATGGCCCCTTGCAGCACTCCCCCCGCCCTCCGCAAAGCCCGGGCAGGGAACGTCACGAAATTCCCAATTCCTGGAGAGCAGCGGCTCCGGGGTACCCCCCCCCACCCCCCGGTGGTTGGCGACGCGCCGAGTAGAGCCCCAGAGAGGCGGGGGAATGCAAGAGACAGGCAGGAAAGTTGAAGCACGGAAAGAATCCCGTTAAACGATACCCTGGGAACTGGCCGGTGTGGAGCCAGCATCCCGCTCCATCTCCCACACAGCAGCAGACAAGACCCCAGGATTTCCAGCATCATGGGAAGTGAGAGTTAGCCTTCCCTGAAAATAGGGGCCTAGAACCGCCCCCAGCACCCCCGTGTTAGTGAATAAGACTTGGCTTTGGAACAGTTGGACCTAGATCCAGTCCTGGCCACTCCTTCTCCTCCCCAGCCTCAGTTTACTTACCTGTAAAGTGGGGAGATGATAATCGCTTTTATGTTCGTTGTGAGGATGCAACGATATAACACTCCCGAGCGAAACGCTCAGCCCAGCCGCTGGCCAGTCAGGGGGCAAAATCCGGACACTGGTAGTGTTTTATGAGGTCAGAGAGTGGGAGGCTTTTCCTCTATGGGGAGTGGAGACGACTGATTTGTTCTTCCGCCCAAAAGGTCGGAAGAAGAAATGAGGCCCAGCACAGTGCCTGGCACAGAACTGACGCGCAAGGAAAAGGCATTGAGAAGGCAGATGTTTGCTCAGCTTCGGGCTCTGCTCCACCTGTCTCGCCGCCTCCAGTTCACCAGTAGCATCTGCGCTCTGGAGCTGTTCCCTGCCCTTGTGAGAGCACGGCTTTAACCCTGCAGAAGGGAAAGCTAAGTGGCTGCCCCACTTAGAAAGCTGTGGCCACGCTCCTCTCCTACCTGCTCACATTACAAATAAATCGCAGCCTGGGTCAAAACGTCCAGGGGGAGGCGCCTGGCCTAGATCGGTGTTTTCGAACTCCAAGTTCATGAGCAGAGAATTCAGTAGAGTGGTAGGATGGAACTGGCAGTTTAAAACAAAATCATATCAGTGACCTGCACATGGCAGAGGTAACTTTAAACTTTTGTTTCACATATACTTTGCCTTATCTGTATACTGGGTTGCCACATAAAACGTTTCTTACAATGGATCATCATTTAAAAAAAAGTTTAAGAGGAGCCAACCCAGCGGCTGAGTGGTTAAGTTCGCGCACTCTGCTTTCGCGGCCCAGGGTTTCACCTGTTCGGATCCTGGGTGTAGACATGGCACGGCTCATCAAGCCTCGCTGAGGCGGGGCCCCACATGCCACAACCAGAGGCCCTCACAACTAGAACATACAACTATGTCCTGGGGAGCTTTGGGGAAAAGGAAAAAAAACGAGGGGGGGCAGTTTAAGGGGCCAGCCTGATGGTGTAGCAGTTAAGTTCACACGTTCAGCTTCGGGGCACGGTTCACCAGTTCAGATCCGGGTGCAGACCTACGCACTGCTTATCAAGCCATGCTATGGCAGGCATCCCACATATAAAGTAGAGGGAGATGGGCACAGATCTTAGGTCAGGGCCGGTCTTCCTCAGCAAAAAGAAAAGGATTGGTGGCAGATGTTAGCTCAGGGCTAATCTTCCAAAAAAAAAAAAAGTCATAGAAAAAAACGTTTAAGAACACTCTGCCTAGACAACACAGGTCCTGGGGAACCAAGCTACAACTAACCCCAGTGCAGAAAGCCAACCTTCCCAATACCCAGCCAGGCAAGCCTGGGCAAGTCAGCCAGGCACTTGCTGAGTCTCCCTGCTAGGCAGGGGCAGGCCAAGCTGCTGTCCTCAAAAACAAACCTCTCACGCTCAAAGTGGAAAACGCATTTATTGGGTGTCCAGTCTCAGGCCCTGGCTGGGGGGCATGAGGCAGGTCTGGGGCCCCTTCCCCCACCATCAGCGGGGAGGCCTCAGGAAGATGGTGCCGATTCCTGAAGGCCCCAACCACGACTTTGAGGCGGGGGATTTCCACACAGCACTCTCCCCAGCCCCTCCAGTCAGGCCTCAGCCGCAGAATCGCGGAGGTCTCGAGGCCACTCTCAATGTGAGGGCTTGTTCCCATCTTATCTCCAAAACACGCAGCACGCGAAGATGACTCAGGGGCTCCTCCTTCAGGAGGCTGGGCCTCCACTCGACATGGCCTGGGTTTGTGTCCAGGGCCCGAAACCCAGCCTCCAGCGCTGGCTGGGCGTCTCAGGGAGACAGGAGTCCAGGCTCCCCCCACAATCCCACGGTGCATGGGGTACTGCAGCCCGGCTCACGGATGCTTCCATCGAGTGTGCTTCTGCAGCGTGTTCTGCTCCATAAACCGGCGCGGGCAGTGCGGGCACTGAAACGGGCGCTCCCCGGAGTGGACCCGGCTGTGCTGGGCCAGCTCGCCCGCCTCGCGGAAGCGGCGCGGGCAGAGCTGGCAGCCGTGGGGCCGCCCGCCACCGGCCCGGTGAATGGAGTGGTGCCGCGCCAGGTGGCTGGCCCGTTTGAACGCCTTCCCGCAGGTGTCACACTCGAAGGGTTTCACCTCCGAGTGGGTGATGCTGTGTCGCTGAAGGTAAGACATGTACTCAAAGACCCGGGAGCACACGGGGCAGCTGTAGCACTTTTTCTGAGCCGAAGCCCCGTTGGCCCCTGGCTCCCGGTGAGCCTCGTCTTCGTCCACCAGCACGGTGTAGGGAACGCCTTGGGTGTCAATGAGCAGGTAGTGGTTGGGCCTCGGAGGGGACGAAGTCTGGGGAGAGCCTGTGGAGGAGGAGGGTCCGGGTTCTGGGGACCGGCCCGTCCGAGGGGGAGGGGCCTCCATGGCCTCGGCGGAGAGAAGCGCCAGGGGGTGGGGGCAGGGGGACGGCAGCACCAGCATCCGGAGGGGTGGCTGAGGCCTGGTGGATGGGAGAGAGGACGAAGTTACCCAGAGCAGGGAAGCTCAGCCCCACGGCTCCATCCTTTCCCTCTATGTAGGCTGCCCGGAATTTGTGCATGCCCCGCCCGCCACCTGTTCTCCAGTCCTTCCTCCCTGGACTCTGGGACCCTCTGTAAGGTTCCTAGGGTCTCCCTCCGTGAAATCCCTGTCCTCGCCTCTGTTCCACCACCCCTGTAGGCACAGGATCTCTCTACCCCTCTAGGCACGGCCAGGACCTCCTCTCTGTTCTCCCTCTGTGCTCTCCTGAGGTCACTGGGTGCCCCTCTACCTGGCCACCCCATAGGGCGTCTCTAGGCCCCGCCCAGTAGACCTCCAGGTCCCTGTCTCCCTTCTCTACGCCCTGACCCGGGTCTGGGTGTCGGCCCATCCTACATACACCACCCAGAAGCCTCTTCTACGCCCTCGATATAGGCGCAGGCCTTCTCAAGCGGGCTGCCACGTTGGGACCCCCCAGGCCCTCCCCTGCCCCCAGCCACCTCCCCGAACTCCTCGGGGCCCCTCCCCGCCCGGCTGCCTCCGGCTTCTCTTGTCCACGCCCACCCGCCCCCCAGCGCTCCCTGGGTCTCGGCGCTCTCCGAGGGGCCACCCCCGGCGCCTGAGCCTTTCCCTGCGACTTCTCGCCGGAGCCCCGCGCGGCGCCCCCGTCGGCCCGCAGGTACCCGCTCCGGCCCCGCCCCTCTCCGCGGCCCGCGCCCGACTCCCGCCTGCCTCCCGGCCCCCGTACCCGGTGCAGCAGCCTCTCGGGTCCGGGCGACTCCGGAACAGCCCCAGGCTACCCCCGAGGTTGCAGGTGCCGACGGGACGGGGCCGTCTGGGTGTCCCCCAGGAGCTGGCGGCGCCGGTAGGGGAGAGAGGACCGGGGGACAGAGAGGAGGGTCCCGGGGAGGGTGGTGGAGGCGGGGCGCCTGGGCCCTCGGGAAACGGCGCCGGCCAGAAACAGGCTCCGAGAAGAAGGTTCCCAGGCGCTTATGGTCCGGTCTCCACCCCCCCAGCCCTGCTGCTGCCCCAAGCCCCGCACACAAATAAGAGCCCTAAAATGGAGTGTGGAATGTTTATTGAGTAAAGAGTGAGGGTAGTGGATGGAAGGGGGCAGATACAGAAATGAACCAGACCGTGCCAATGCTCTTGTCAAATCTACCGCGCAGACAACCGTTCACCACTGCCGAGCAGAAAACCAAGGCTCAGAAAGGTTATGTCACTTGCAAAGGCTCACACAGCACAGCTGGACCGGGAACCCAGTTCCGACTGGCTCCCAGGCCCAGGGAAGGGCAACGACTCGGTCTACATCACACAGCTAGGGAGAGAGGGAAGGAAAGAAGGAAGGAATGTCTCTCCCTTTGGATAGATGGGGAAACTGAGACCCAGGGTAAGACAGTACCCTCAGCAGAGGCAGGGAGGTGTGTGGGAGTGGCGTGGCGGCCCGCACAGGGCGGCGCAGCTCGGCGGGTCGGGGACTCAGTGGAGGCGCACGTGCTGCGCCAGCTCCGCGGCGTCCTGGAAGCGGCGGGGGCAGAGCGGGCAGGTGTGCGGCGGGCCGGCGCGCGCGCGGTGCGTGGCGCGGTGCCGCGACAGGTGGCTGGAGCGCTTGAAGGCCTTGCCGCAGGCGCCGCACGTGAAGGGCTTGAGGTCCGAGTGCGACACGCGGTGGCTCTGCAGCCGCAGAGGGCTGGCAAAGACACGGGCGCACTCCGGGCAGCTGTAGCCCTTGCGAGGGCTGGGGTCTCCCGGGGGTGTCTCGCGCTGCGGCGGGCCCCGGGGCTCCTCCTCCAGCTGCACCGTGTATGTGTAGGGCACCCCGTTGGCGTCGATGAGCAGGTGGCGGCCCAGCCGCGGGGGCCGGGGCCCCGCCGCTGAGGAAGGAGTAGAGGAAGGGCCTTCCGTCTTGGGGAAAGGGGGAGTCTTGGGGGGCGGTGGGTCCATGGCCTCCGGAGAGGAGGACCGAGGGTGGGGTGGCCGCGGCGGCAGCAGCAGCATCTGGAGCGGCAGCTGGGAGCGGCGGAGGGAAGAGAAGTTAAAATCGCCCCTTCCTGGGGAAAGTGTCCCCGTTCTCACTGCTTGTTACCTGCTCTGTACCACTGACCTACGTCCCCTACAAAAAGGAACTGGGTCCAGGGCAGATCGCTGTGGCTCCACCCGGATGCTTCGGGGCTGCCTCCAACTGACCTCAGCTTATCCCAGCCCTAACCTGCCGTTCCTGCTGGGTCCCCCTCTCAGCCGCCAGGTCAGACCGGAGGACGTCACCCCGCCACTCCCTACCCCAGCCCCCAACAGCCAATCAATCTCCAAGTTTATTTCTCTTCTTTACATCTTCACGGCCTCTCGTTTCACACCCGGGCCCTTTGGGTCGCTTCCTCTCAGCCCCGGCTCAGGTGGCATCCTCTCCCCGCAGGACCACCGCAGCAGCCTCCGTCTCTGGCCCCCACGCCCTCCTAGCTCTCCATCCCCACTAGGCGCCCTGAGGGCCTCCCCATCGCTAGTTACATCCGTGGCCTCTCTTAGTTTCCTCTCTAGGTACACCCCCAGAGCCCCACTAACCCAATTCCCCACTTTCGCTCGGGGCTCCTCCATCCAGTTCCTACGCTCAGCACCCCCGGGTCTCGACATCCTGGCCCCACTACCTAACCCATCGTCTCGGTTTCACGTCTACATCTCTAAGGCTCCTCCACTGCCTGCCTTCTGGGTACCCCGCGGCCCCCAAACCTTGCTCCTGCTACTGTCCCCCGAGGGTCCCTGCGTATAAGCGGCTGACGTCTTTACTTTTTCTGTATGTACCCCTCAGGGGCCTCCTCGCACTCCCGGTTACATACGCCAGGGCCTCTGGAGCCCTTCTCCCTCCTTTCTTTCTGTGTGCATCTGGCATCTTTCTCTCTCCATCCCTCCCCCGCCATTCCCAGCACGGCCTCTCTGTCCCGCTTCCTCCTGTAACCCCAGGGCCCCCCCGCCCCCCACTTCTGTAAGGCGCGCGGGCATCTCGGTCTCCCCGCCGGTCCGGGCGCCCCCCGGCTCCTTCCCCGCCCGCCCCTCCCCCAGCCCTGCCCGGCCTCGAGCCGTCCCGGAGCCAGGCTCCTCCCTCCATCCCGGCCCCCGTACCCGGTGCAGCGGCCTCTCGGGTCCGGAGGAGCGGGCCGAGGTCCCGGGCGGCCCGGGCTTCCCCTCGCGAGCGCCGGCGGCGGCGGGACCGAGACTGGCGGGAGCTCCGGGCCGGCGGCGCCGGGGACGCGGGCGCGGGGGGCGCGGGCGCGGGGGCGCGAGGGGCGGCGGCGTCCCTGGGAAAAGACGCCGGCCGGAAACGCGCGCGCCGCAGTGAGAGTTCCGCCGACCCCTCCGAGCCGGCCGACCCCACCGCCCGCCTTTACGAGCGCCCCGCGGGGAGGGGTTGGGGGGCGAGAGCGTGGGAACCACTGAGGCAGGCCGTCCCTGTCGCCTGCTCTCCTCGCATCCCCGACAGGACAGATCGGTCGCTGTGACGGGTCGATTGATAATAAACTGAGGCTAGGCGAGGCTGTCTTTGCCCGAAGTCGCACAAGGAAAGGGCGCAGCCGAGTTGGTCCTGTTCCCACCGGGCCGTCCCGCTGGCATCCCCCTGCCCGGCAAGGCAGAGAGCTGGGGAGGGACCGTTCTGTAGGCGGGGCAAAGGGAGAAACCGAAGTCCAGTGACCAGCCATTGGCTCTGATGTGGTACAGCCATGATCTCCTGCCCAGCAAATGGGCAAACTGAGGCTGAGAGAAGGCCAGACGTTGCCAGATACGGAGATGGAGAAGGGTGGCATTTCCCACCGCGCAGATGGGGAAGTCGAGGCCCAAGGAGCAGCCGCCGCCCCGTCTTGATGGCACCCGGAACAGAGCGCGGAGAGACGAACGCTCCCGCGGCGCAGAGGGGGAAACCGAGGACCGGCGGCAGCGCCCCAGTGCGGGGCGTGGACCCAGAGAGGCAGGGAAGCGCAGGCCGGGTCTGCAAGCTGGCGCGGGCAGAGCGGGCAGGCGTGCGGGAGCCGTGCGCCCGGGTGCGCCAGGTGGCGCGAGCCCTTGAAGGCGCGGCCTCAGGCGACGCACCCGAAGGGCTGGAGCGTCGAGAGCCACCCGCTGTGGCGCTGCCGCTGCCCGCGGAGCCGCACTCGGGGCGCCCAGAGCACGTCCTCTGGCCGCGCTGGGAACTTGCAGGCACGCCGCGCGTGGCCGTGAGCAGGCGGTGCGCGCTGCACACCGCCGGCGGCCGGCCTCTGGGCAGGGCGGGAGGGACTGCTGCGTCTCTGGGAGGGTGGCCTGGGAGAGCAGAGGGGAGAGGAGAGGCGTTACGGTCGTGCCCAGCCCCAGGATCCCGGGCTGGCCAGAGCTGCGTTCTAGAAAGCTGTCGAACTTTCTGCAATGAGGGAGATGTTCTATGATCTGCTCGCTGTCCAGCGAGACAGCCACTAGCCACGTGGGGCTCTTGCGCACTTGAAATGTGGCTAGTGCGGCCGAGGACCTGAATTGTGTGTGTATGCGAAACGAAGATTGGCCCTGAGCTAACATCTGTGCCAATCTTCCTCTATTTTATGTCGGAGGCCACCACCGCGTCGCTTGAGATGGGTGGTATGTCCTCACCTGGGATCTGAACCTGCAAACCCTCGTCGCCTAAGCAGAGAGCACAAAGTTAACCACTACGCCACCAGCCGGCCCCTGAAGACCTGAATTTTAAATGTTATTTAATTTCTCTTAATTTAAGTCTAAATAGCCACACGTAGCTAGTAGCTACCCACCACACGGGACAGCTCCTAAAGCACCCTGACCCAGCTGCAAACTGGAGGTTCACCGGCTGGAAAGGGCTCACAATTATATTAGGTTTGGACCACAAGATATTTTTTAATGTTTTACTGGGCAATATTTTAAAAGCCAAAAAATGTACACACACAAATTCCTCAGCACACTTGGGGAAAAAAATCTCTAGATGTGGCAACAATAAGCTCGAACTGAGAAAACATTCTCCAGAAAGCCTTCAAGAAACCCCAAGTGACCAGACAATTGTGGTATTATGCTAAAATTAAAGATCCTCTAGAATTGTGCCATCAAACAGCAGCCACTGGCCATATGTGGCTCTTGAGCAATTGACATGTGTCCGGTCTGAATTGAGATGCGTCGTAAATGCAAGACACCCGATTCCGAAGACTTAGAACGACAAGAGAAGAGTGTAAACTATCTCGTGAATGATTTTTATATTGATATTTTGAAATGATAATACTTTGGGTATACTAGGTTAAGTAAAGTGTGTTATTAAAATTAATTTCACCAGTTACTTTTCACTTTTTTTAGTGTGGCTCAGGTTCTAATGCCTCTGGACAGTGTTGTCCCAGAGTTCTTCCTCTCATAATTGCATGGTCGGGGGTGGGGGGCACACATTAGGGAGCAGAGACTGGGGAACTGAGAGGGTATGCCTAGTTTAAAGAGGCAACTACCCATTCTGTCTACACCATGGTTTCTCAACTTTGGCACTACTGACACTGGGGGGCCAGATCATTCTTTGTTGTGGGGAGCCATCCTGTGCATCATAGGATGTTGACCAGCATCACTGGCCTCTACCCTCCGGATGCCAGTAGCCCCCTCCCTCATCCTTTCTCCCCATTGTGACAACAGACATTGCCAGATGTCCCCCAGGGGGCAACACTGATCCTGGTCGACACAGCCAACTACCCAATATGAGTCTCCTGCCCAGATCCATTTCTTGAGTTTCAGACCCAAATAGTAACTGGCTGCATCCATGACAGCCACACCCACCCCACCCCATGCGCATCCCTGGAAATAATGACCACAATGACCAACATTTATTGAGCACTTACTATGGTGCCAGCCATTGCTAAATGCACCTCGTCCTCAGAGCAGACCTATGAGTCAGAAGCCATGAGGACCC